TCGTTTCACGGCCCCTCTCGTGCCTCGATTTTCTGTTGCTGTTTCTGTGCGTTCGGTTGATTTCGCCGTCTAGACGGCCTCCGGGCGCGGTGCTGGGGCGGGCAGTCCGGTGAAGAAGGGCTTTGGGGGTGAGCACCGCTTTCAGCAGCGCAGAATGTCCGCTTCTGTCACGTGGGGCGGTGGTGGCTGGTCCTGAAAAGCTTCTGTCCAAGGAGGATTCAGATCCGGATCTGCACTGTGGCGCCCGTCGGGATTCCAGGTGTGACGGGCGTGGTCCGTGGTCCGTGGTCCGTGGTCCGTGGGCTGCTTGGCGCGTCTTCCTCAACGTTTTATTCGTTAACTAGCAAAGCAGGCTTTTCCCCGTTTAGCCACGTCCGGCTTGGCTTTCTCTCCACCGCCTGCTGTAAGAAAGCTCCACGCGCTCACTGGCCTCACGCGGTCCTTAGTACCCATTAGGGTGTAAACGTGGTTTTTTGAATGGCTAGTATCGTTTGTACTGAGACAAATAATAATAGTTCTTGATGTTTTCCCCCTTTAGTAAAGAAAATCCTATGAACTGTGTATGTGTTGACTCATGCAATCCACCCAACTACCCTACATGGTCATGGCCATTACTGTTCCCGTTTGATGAATAACTGAGGCACGGAGAGCTTAAGGGACATCCCCAAATCCCCAGAAGTTTCCAGAGCTGGGTTTCCAATTCCAGGCCCTGGGCTGTGTGGACGGTGGCCGACAGGAAACGGGACCCTTCCGTGAACACACACAGGGTTCCCGACACCCTGCCATCGCGGGTCTAGCGTTATTCTAGTTAAAACGCCGCTGACGTGGTTCCTGTTAGGAAACTGAGGTTTCACTGAACTCTGCTCCATTTGCGGCAACATGAGTTATGCTGGGGTCCCCCTTTGTGCCGGATGTGTGTGGCAGACGTGGCTGAGACCGGCTTTGGCTTCTCACCACACCCCCAGGGTGAGCACCTGTGCTCCGGTCTCTTCCTGAGCTATGGCTCAACCTGCGAGCAAACGCCACAACCACCAGAAACACTCATGATGTGCTTCTTTACAGAAAATCATTCTGCACCTCCTGACGTAACCACGTACACCTCAGAGCACTCCATACAGGTGGAGCGACCACAGGGTTCCACGGGGTCCCGGACAGCGCCCAAGTACGGCAACGCCGAGCTCATGGAGACCGGGGATGGTACGTCCCAAAGCAGAGATGCTTTTTTTCTGGTAAACGGTTTGTGCTGATGTCCCGTTCTGTGCCCGTGGCTGGGTGTGTTTCTTCCTGGGGTACAGTCTGCTGTCATTTTATCTGCTGAATAACTAACAGTGGTTCAGCAACTGAGAAATTCTTGTACAGGTGTTAAGACCGTGAACAGTCACTTAGAAGAGCAAGATGAAGTTAAATGTACAACAGAATTACTGTCAGATGGGCCAATATGTTGCTTTAGACTTTGGAGGAAAGAGGGTCTTTTTATCCATGTGGGACAGAGATGTCAGCGACTTGGTAACAGGCTGCAGCCGAGGGCTTCTCCTTCCTTCCTCGTGGCCTGGTCTTGGTACGTTCTGATTACAGCAGCTGTTTGTATCACCTAGCCCCTGTTCTATTTAAGTCTCAGTCCTTCCCGGGATCATAAAAGTCAGTGTAGAACCTAACAGTGAATGAAATACAATGCCCCTGTGTGAAGCTGCATGGAGCAGCCTTGGCATGCCCTCATCTTGTGGTGCACGGAACTCACAGGCGGACAGGGAGGCCTATCCCAGCCCCAACAAGTAGACAGGGAGGACTATCGGAGCCCCGACACTCACAGTGGACAGGGAGGTCTATGCCCTGGGCTTAGATAATGGCGCGTCAGGGTAGCCTTCCACCCTTTAGCACAGAGCTTGGTGTTCCAAAGGCCACGAGGAGTTTCAGACCCTGGACCCCGGACATGTTCCAAGACTCTTACGTTATGTCAGATGTGGAAGCCCTGCCTGAGCTTCTCCCAATCACTCGGCTTCTCGGAACACTCAGCTTCTCCCAACACTCAACTTCTCTGCCAACATAGAAGAAGCATCTTGATTCTGCTTTTCTTTAAAAAATCCATGTATTGCTTTACATACATATTTTATACTTAACTGCATATCTTAGAGTATAAACTTTGACATATAAAAATCTCCATAGTGGTTATCTGTGGGGCACAGGATTGGCACAGAAACAGGCACTTTCCCTTTGAACTGTGATGTTTGCCTTGTTCATACTAAGAATGTGCTCGCGTTGGTTGTACTGTTTGCTTCTAAGTTTCTATAAAAAGAGAGCAGTAGACTGATGCACTCAGTGTCCTGGGAATAGAGGCTGTCCTCTGGGTCTGAGTGCTGCCAAGCCCCACCACTCACTCGGGCGGTGAAGTCAATATTTCCGTGCCCGAGTCTTCTCCTCTCAAATTGGGGAATAATAACCATAGGCTTGTGGTGAGTTTTGAGTCCCTATGCATGACTCAGAACCATTTGGCACATGGAGGGTACCACTAGGGCATTGGTTTGCCATCTGTAGGGGGAGGCATGAGCACCACCAGCTCAGAAGTTAAGGGGTGACCCTGGACACACGTCTGTGGCGAGGTGGGGCTGTGAGGCTGCCTGTGTGTCAGGAGCGCCGCGCTTCTGTGCCCAGCTGTGTGTGCCGGGAGCACCACGCTTCTGTGCCGGCCTGTGTGTGTGTTGGGAGCACCACGCTTCTGTGCCGGCCTGTGTGTGTGTTGGGAGCACCACGCTTCTGTGCTGGCCTTTGTGTGTGTTGGGAGCACCACGCTTCTGTGCCTGGTTGTGTGTTGGAAGCACTGCACTTCTGTGCCTCCCTGTGTGTGGGTGTGTTGGGGGGAAACACCACGCTTCTGTGCCTGCCTGTGCCTGTGTTGTGTGCCTGTGTGTTCTGCCTGTGTTCTGTGCCTGCCTGAACACCACGCTTCTGTGTGCGCCCTTGCACTCCAGCCTGGGCGACAGAGTGAAACCGTGTCTCAGATAAAAAGGGGGGGATTTTGTAATTGAGATAACAAAACATACGTGATTGGGCCCTAAGATAACTTTTGCTCCCAGCCTCTTGCCCGGCAGGTCAGTGTTCTGAATCTCGGCTAGCCCAGCGTTTTGTTTCATGTGGCTTTTTAAAACAAAACTAAGTATACCTTAAATTTTTATCACTAAGATAGTGTATTCGGCCTCTTGTAACAAAGTACCACACAGTGGGTGATTTAAACAACAGACACTTGTCTCAGTTCTGGAGGGTGGAGTCGGAGACCCCGAGGTGTCATAGGGCTGGGCCTCTGGAGGTGCTGAGGGAACCTGCCCCAGGCCTCACCCCGGCCTCGGGTGCTCAGCGATCCTGGAGGGGGTACCTGTCACTCCAGTCCCTGCCTCCATCATCATGTGAGCTCCTCCCTGTGTCTGGGCCTCTCTCTCCTCTTACAAGAACCGAGTCATTGGATTTAGGGTCCATTCTAACCCAATATGACCTCATCTTAACCTGGTCATAAGATGGCCCTGGCTTAAGGTGGTTCAACTTGCGATTTTCACCTTTTCAACGGGTTTATCAGGTTGTAACCCCATTGTAAGTCCAGGGGTATCTGTCTCCGCACAGGCCCTGCTTCCAAATAAGGTCACAGATACGAGGGATGATCTTGTGCAGGGACACGATTGAACCCAGAGCAGATACTGCAGCTCCCATTCCTGACTCCCACATCGACCTTTGTAGAGGACTGTTAGGGTGAGGGAATGGTGGCAGGACCACTGACAACACTGTGTTTTCATTTTGAAGTTTTGGTTTTTTTTGAAGTCTCTGGGAAGTAAAGGCCAGGAGAATAACGGAAAGCCCAGTGATTTGAGCTCAGGCCATCTAGGTGGTTCCGTGTGGGTTTTCTTATTTGGGCAGACTTTGCTTTTCTATCTGATTAGCAATATCCTTTTTGATTCTTACATCTAGAATGCTTCCGTTTCAGGAGTCTTTCATGCTTTTTTCAGTACACCAGTTAATTCATTCAAATGAGATCTCCTCTTGCAAATTTTAACTTTTATGTTGCCTCATTTTTGTCTTCAGCTTCATTATAAACCATAATATTTTAAAGTTAAACAGCAAGCTTAGGTCCAGCTTTTAAGTGTAAAGTGCATTAAAGATTAACATACGAAAAATTACAGAAACAAATGTGATGTGTACCTAAATTGTGGTGACTCCCTTAGATAACCATTGAGGAATTGTTAGTTTTCAGGAATATAATCCATGATCTTAGATTTTAACTTATTTGTTCACAAATTCAGTCAGCAGATATTTATTGCTAGACATTTTCCAGGGGCTGGGATGCAGCAGTGAGCAAAACAAACTGGAGAGTTGGGTCTGAGGGAGGAGGTCACACAGGTAGTCAGAGATGTGTGCTATGGGGTGGGCACGCTGGGTGGGGAATGTTTTCTGAGGGGATGAGAAGTCTCAAATTTGAGCCAAACTCTGGAGACGCGGAGGGAGAGGGCCATGTGGAGGTCTGCCGGAGGAACGTCCTGAGTAGCAGCGAGAACCAGCACAGAAGCCTCAAAGCGGGAGCAAGCTGGGGTGTCCGGCAGAGGAGGTGGGGCGGACCCCAGAGTGGTGCACATGTGCAATCAAGCCTCTAAGTCCTTAGGGAATCCGAACCATTCGTTTCATGCCCCGTGCCAGGTGAGTCCTATCCGAGAACACCTGGAGCATTCCGCCACCATGTTC